GCCATGGTTCTGGCTTGCACTCCCCTCAGCATGGTGGCGTGGGTATACCGTTCCCCATAGCGACCCATAGAGGACGCAGTTCGAAGTTGCCTTGAAAGGGAATGTCTCAGGTTACGTATGTAACACTGAGTACTCAGGGAACCATAAATGTAACCTGAGACGTTTTTCATCGATGCTTACGCAGCTAATCAAATCACATGACCAGTACATCTAACGCTACTCATTTCCTCCTGTAGGTGTCACTATTGCCAATTATCATGCAAATAAAATATACAACACCCAAATGAGTATTCAATTATTACACATTTATAACAAAAAAAAACTTTCAAGAAGTGACCAAAGCGTCTAGTGATGCTAGAGGCTTGACAGTTTATTGACGCCTTTGATGTGAGAACGGGTTTACATTTAACATCCATCTTATTTATGTGACGATCCTCCTGTAATGATAACTTCACCCGGAAATAAGTCTGTATCGGTCCACCCATCCTTACAGTCCATGGTGGATGACTGGACAACAACTGGACATTTCCGTCGTGGTCTGCCTTGAATCCAAGCTGAAGAACAGAAACTTGAAGTTTAGAAACTGGAATAATGGCTGAGCAAACGCTGTTTTTCAACCCAGTAAGTGACTAATTACTTAAAAATGATTATTAATATCCTGTTGTGTTGATTTGTGATTTAATCGCAACAATCTGCATAAAATATAAAGAGTTAAAATGAATCAAAACAGTTGTTTATATTGATGGCTATACAAAATTCACAGAAGCTACTTATCTTAAGTGTCTTATATTCAACATAAGACAAAATTGTTTGCATGTGCCAGATTCTCCAAATGCGTGTTTCACTTTCGTGTTTATTCGGACACCTTCAGTTTCGCTAATGCTCACAAATCCATGTTTTCCTAACAGTAAAAAATAAATAAATAATAATTTTTCATATAATCTTATGGTGCCATGTTTATCAAAATAAATCTGATAATATATATGTATGTGTGTGTATATATGTGTATATATATATATATATATATATACATATATACACACATATTTTTCACTTCCTGTGCATTTGTGGATCTTATTTTATGAAATGTCTGATATGAAATCCGTTCACACAGAGTGTCCCATCACTAGTCCAATCGAGGAAAGATTGCAGGATGGAATGAATATTACTGTATGTGGACGAGTTCCATCAGACTCAAACAGGTGAATAACAATGTACTCTTTAAAGCTATTAATATAATGTTGATTGGAAACATAGCATCTGCTTTTGAATAGGATATACTCAGCGCTTTTAAACTGATAGACACTAATAGATATCGGTACAATGTAGGGCTGTCGCGGTGAGGGAATTTCCCTTGCGGTAATTTTGAAAGTGAAAGTGACGTGACACAAAAAACGCGGTTGCTGCGGTTCTTGCATTCCTCTGCGGTTTGCTCGTCAGTAGCGCGGTATTGCGATATTGCGGTTATCGCGACAGCCCTAGCTAGTACAAAGCTTCTATCTTAAAAGTAATCTTACCATTGCTAGATGATGCCGATGCAGTTTAACTTTACGTTATGATATGTAGCTAATGATTGTTTGTGGCTAACAGCATTTATTTTTATTGGCTTAAATACCAATATAGCATACACAAATATCATATTGTCCCTAACATTTGCTACAGTTTAGATCACTCTTCCCTTTTGCTCTTGGTCACTTTATGAGTTCCCATTGTTTCCTTAATTACTTTATTTAGTGTTCCTGTGGCTCATTGTGTTGTTAGCAGTGCAAAAGGTCGTGGGTTCAATTCCCAGGGAACACACATACTGGTAAAATATGTATAGCCTGAATGCACTGTAAGTCGCTTTGGATAAAAGCGTCTGCTAAATGCATAAATTATTATTAATTATTATTATTACTTTATCATTTAACAAATGATTGAAATGTGTTAATCAGTCATTATATATGTGTTATTCAACTTAGTTAACTAATTGTTTGCTGCTTCTACATTCATCATACAGTATATGAAGGAACTTTGTCATATATATATATATAAAAAAAAAATATATATTTTTTTTTTCCAGAAACATCAGGTGGTGGTCATCAAAATAATTGATATTGTTTCATTTGCTCCTCTCTCTTCTGTCTTCTCCAGATTCCAAGTGGAACTCCAGTATGGGTCCGATATCATTCTTCACTTTAACCCTCGCTATGAGTCTGGAGGATATGTAGTGCACAACACCCTCCAAAACTCGTCACCCAGGAGTCATATAAGGTCACTGATTTGATTTCACTTCAGTTATGCTTTTCTGTCTGTAAATATTATTTCATTTTTAGAAACAAATTACAAACAAGATAAAAAGGACCCTTTTGTTGTCCACAAAAATGAGAATTTAATTTTTGTCCACCATCTGTTTTTTAAGAAACACAACAGTATTTATGTTTTTTCTAGATAAGTGCCAATGGGAAACCCTTCTCGGAGTACAAGCACCGTTTACCATTCTCACATGTGAACAGCATCTGTGTAGATGGACTGGTGGAAGTGAACTTAATTGCCTTCCAAGATCTTGCGGTAATGTCCTGTCCTTTTCAAAAATTCCAATTACGCATGGGATGAGGAAAAAAAAAAAAATATATATATATATATATAATGGAGTTGCCTGTGGAATTATCAGAAAATGACAAATGCTTTAGATAAAAAGGCTTTGTCACAGCTGGTTTTGAGGATGCATCAACCCTCTTGTTACATCACAAACCGTTACATGAGCAGAACACTGTTTATATATGACAATTATTGCTATGATGTGCATGACTAATTATATAAATGGCCAAATTATCTAAACTATCATTATTTTCCTTTGGGGACCTGCTTACTTTCAGAAGATTTTGTATTATTCTTATTATTATTGCCATACCTGAGAGACAAATTTAGAGACATTTCAGTTCATCAGAACCATGTAACTGTTAAATGATCACCTCTGTTATCTTAAATACCGACACACATGCAATTTCCTTTACAGTTACTTTGCTTCATGTGTTGTAATAGACTCCTTCAATTCATTTCAATTGCAGACTCATCATGCTGCAACTCCAGGACCTTTTGTAAGTTTTGAAATGTTTAATAGCTAAATGATTTATCTGCATGAATATGCATGGCCACATAAATCATAAGACAATATCATGGTAACACCAAGAGTGTTTATGCTTTTGTTTTGAATGTCATGGCATCTCTATACAACTTCTATGACCAGTTTGGTGATCTTACACAATATATTTATTATTATTAATATAATACTGCTGTCACTGCTACTGTATTGTATCAATTATACTTTCTAAGGCTCAGACAGTGCTAGATGTGTACATGAAAATCGCATTTTATAAAGAGCCCCACATATTTTGACTATTATTTTTTTATATCAAAAAACATTTAATGATTTAAACCATTGCAATTTTCTATATTTAAACATATTTAAAAAGCTATTGTAAATATTGATTTAATTGACTATTTAAAGTTGGACTTTGGACAACAATATATGATATCACATGACAGAATATTATAAAAAAAAATATTACAATTTTATATTTAATCATATTTAATTACTCACGATCAGAGGGTCCCATACAAAAGCATCATCCATGGCGGACTACAGCCTGGCAAAGCCATCATCATTCAAGGAGTCATCAGTCATTCTGCAAATAGGTTTGCGAGCAGGAATTCTGGTTTCAAATTTCTTGAAGACTCTTGAAATGTCAAAATGACAAATGTTCTGATCACTGAATCACAGTGTTCTTTAAAGTCTTTTTTAAGATACCGTTTTCTCTTTCCCAACAGAATGGAGCTTAATTTGCATCACAAAACTGGAGTGGCATTTTACTACAGTCCTCGTTTTGATACGAATGTGGTTGTGTGCAGCAGCTATGAGAATGGGAAAAAGGCCAAGGAAAAACAATCCAAAGACATGCCATTCGAGTTAGGGAAACCTTTTCTGGTAGGCATACAGCTTTGATCCCTGTACATAGCCTTAAATGCACTGTTTAATGTTTGACTAGATTAAAAAAAAAATCAGGTTAGTCTATAGTTAAAACGAGTGCATTGACACTAGAGGTTTTGTTTGTTTGTGACATGATGATAAATTATATCACTTTATCTAACATTGTTATGTGCATTTCAGGTCACCATTTACTGCAAACATCAGCACTATGAAGTGTTTGTCAGCGGCAAACAAGTTCACACGTACAAGCATCATCACACTAAACTGGAAGATATTGATGTTTTGGATATTAGTGGAGATGTGCGTCTGAGTTTTGTGCAGCCCTAGAAAGTATTTTATCCAGTTCCACAGCATAAGACATGCATGTTCAAAAATGAATATATTAATATATCAACTTGCAAAAGATTCATTAATCTATGCATGCGTATGCAGACATGTGTCTTGACATTAGCCACAGCCTCCCCACCCCAAATCTGTCTGTGCAGCCTACACCTAAACAATATAACACACAATTACTCAATGAACATTAAATAAAGCAAGAAGGGAGAGAAACACAGTATTATGTACTTGTGAGACTGTCTCCAATGAGAAAAATAATTAAACACTGATGATTCTGCCTCAGCTTTTTCGTTAAATCCTTTACATTTGTGTGGGTTATTCAACAATCCTTGCATAATCTATTAAAATTAAACATAATGCTATTAACGTAGTTTGAATGAGCCAAATACAATTTAAAAATGATAAAATAAAAATAATCCAATTACCATTCAGTTTGGAGGAATCTGCAGCATGTTTTAATATACTGGTAAGGAAACTCACCACCTGCTGTTGAAAATGGGAAATGTCTCGTCTCTCCATCAAATCACAGCCTGACATACATAGAAGTGAAAGTTTCATAGAGTATACTCGAGTGTGTTTCAAGATTATTGAATACTCATATGTATAAGTGTTGCACCTACAGCAGTACAAGAGTGCAAGGGACGGAAATGTAGTGCAACGAATTCCAGGTGATGTTTCTCCAGTGTCCTTGTTCTTGTTGAATTATCTGTCAGTTTACCGTCACATAGTTTGTTACAGAATTTATGGAAATTAATGGCTGCAACGTTTAAATTATTATGTATTCTTTAAGGCATCATTAAAGTTTTCATTATATACACTAGTTACAGACACACTGCTCTCTCTCTGTGTGTGTGTGTGCGCACATTCTTGCATTTGTGGTTTACGGGGACTCTCCATAGGCGTAATGGTTTTTATACTGTACAAACTGTATATTCTATCCAACACCTAAACCTACCCCTCACAGAAAACCACGGGCAATTTTTGAATTTCATAAAACACAGTTTTGTATGTTTTTTAAGCCTTTTGGTTTATGGGAACACAAGAAGTGTCCTTATAAACCATGTTTACGCTGTAGTACCCATATTATTATACACATTTGTACCCTCATAAACCAAATATGCCAGTACACATGCGTGTGTGTGTGTGAGAGAGAGAGAGAGAGAGAGAGAGAGTTGGTTCACTACTCACTGCTGTGTGTGTGTGTGTGTGTGTGTGTGTGTGTGTGTGTGTGTGTGTGCACTTGGATGGGTTAAATGCATAGCACAGATTCTGAGTATGGGACACAATACTTGGCCACAGGTCACATCACTTTCACTTTTATCCACTGGCAATAAGGAACTGCACAGTTGATGAAGGTTGGAATGAATGCTCTCTTTATTTAAAATTAAAACATTACATTTAGATTATACATTAAATAGATAAATAAATAGGTAAATAAATAAATCTGTAGATTTTTTTTTTAATGAGAGAACAATTAAACACTACCTTCAAAATTCACCTTTCTTATCAACTAGTGGAATAACATCTATGTGCAGCTGACAGCTCTTTATTTTATTTTATGGCTATTTTAAATTGTGAAGCTGCCATTATACTCTAAGAACCTTACTATGCTGCACAAAGAATCTCATAATGCACCTGGTTGTTTGTGAGATCATTTGTAAAGTTCATACTGAAGTTCATACAAAACTGCTGTTTTGAGCAAATGTGTTATTTAAACCCCTCTGACTGGACATAGCATTGTGTTCAACATATGTACCTTTGATTGGCTGCAATGCTCTATGCTGAAAAAAAAATACATTGCCAATAGAAACATATAAACAGCATAGAAACATTGATTGCTTGATTGATTAATTGTGCAGCCTTATTTACACATAACCTGTTTGTTTTTTGTTTTGTTTTTTTGGCACACCTGTTCCTTATTAGAGATTATTTAATTTGACACAGAAACACTGAACATTTAGACAGGCTGAATCCAGCATAGAGGGGTTCAGTGAATGTGGTGTTGAATGTGTGTAAGTGTGTGAGTGTGTGTGTGTCAGAGACCCTGTAGTACCTGCTGATTCCTTTATATGTGACTGATATATTACCCTCCTCCCCGCGCCATTCAACCTCCCAGTAACAGAATCCAGTCAGACTCTCTCGACACAGAACCTGAAGATAGTGCTCAAATCTGTCTGAATGGTCAGGATACGGCTGATGATCTTTCACGTGCCACCTTTCTGTTCTCCTCAGACAGGATGAGGTGAGTGTTTGCTGTGTTTGGATCCAGTGTGAGATCACAGGCATCTGAGCATGAATGATTAGAGGAGAGAACATTAAACTACATTATACATTATTCAGTCATTGCTGAATGATTCTGATTTCAAAAAGTTATTTGAAAAAGCTTACAATCTACCAAAGACCTTGACCAAACAAATATGACAAACAATCTGATTAAACATTACAAACAAACAAAAAAGTGTTGTAAGGATGAAAATGGCTTTACTCTGTGGCCACAAGCCACAATCAGTAATCAAATAAATGACTTAGGAGTGTATGTGTGTGTACACTCACATTTTCGCAGCCCTGCTCTTATCCTGATCACTCCACCACACTCCACACTGTGAGAAAACAAACAAAAACATATAACAAAATAGTTATTTTCTGTTGATAAAATTAATGGGGATACTAAATCAGGGAGTTACAATCCAATTAAAAAATAAGTTGCTTTGGATAAAAGCATCTGCTAAATGTATGAATGTAGATGATTTTATATTTTTATATAATCAAAATTTAAGTGATACTTCTTGCAATATAATAGTGTCACATTTTAGCAATCCTCACCCAAATATCTAGCTAATCTAACTGCAATTATTTCCATCAAATGGTACCAAAAAATTATTCTGGTTTACACATTTCTATTTGTATTGTTTTAACCAGTGTATTGCCCAACACTAGCTACTGCCAAGTTATTTTAAGCCTTTAATGCAACTGAGATTTCAGCTATTGTTGCTCTAGTAAGCACCTAGTGTACACAGTGATAGTCTCAAGTCTTTGAAACACTCAGACACCTAATTGAATATATATTAGAAGGTATTTCTGATTTTAATTGTAAACTATATAAGTAGACTACATCAGTTTTGGTTATTCAAAATTTGAATGAATTTGACTACGAATTGTTTAAAATATTTATCAAGTCACAAGCTTAACAAACAAGGCAAATTTTTCTCATACTTCACCCAACATGAAAACATACTGTATCTGCTGCCAAAGCACCTGCACCTTTTCCTATGGTAAGTAAAAAGCTTATGCCTGTATGTGTTCATACATGTTTATTAATGTGTCTGCCGTAATTTTTTTATGATTCGTCATACAACTCACTCAGTTTGCAGTGAGCAGTTTGGATCCTCCAGTTTGTGTTTGAGCAGCTGGACTCCTGATGGTCCTGGGTGATTGTAGCTCAGATCCAGCTCTCTCAGGTGTGAGGGGTTTGAACTCAGAGCTGAAGACAAATAACCACAGCCTTCCTCTGTCACCATGCAGCCAGACAACCTACAGACACACACACACAGACAGATCATCTACAGACACTAATCAACATTATGACCAGATAACTGTACATCATCCCTTGTTCTTAATACCTCAGTATCTGCAGCTGACAGTTTGGACTCTTCAGTCCATCAGAGAGCAGCTTCACTCCTGAATCCTGCAGGTCATTGCTACTCAGATCCAGCTCTCAGGACACAGTTTGAGGATTGTAGAGCTGATGACAAACTCTCACAACACTGAGCAGTGAGATTAGAGAGCACCAATCTGAACAGAACAGAGTGGGGTAAAAAAAAAAAAATCATTATAACCTACAATGTAGTTGTCACTAGCAAATAATCTAAGCATCTTTTTTTTTTTAAAGTTCCTATTCCTTGTTGAAAAAAAACAGCATATGGTCATGAGCTGGTTTAAGCTGGTCTTGTACTGGTCCTAAGCAACTAGCTCCTGCTCAGGACCAACTTAGGACCAGCACATGACCAGATAAAGGCCAGCTCAAACCAGCAGCCATGCTTCAAAACATACCTAACCAACATATGCTGTTTTTTTTTCAACAGTGTTATCTTTGCAAACAATCCAAAGGTTGTTTTTGTCTCTGGTTCTGTTATTCCATCATGAGCAGATGCCAAATTTGGCGACAAAATCCAGCAGCCATTAATTGTGGCAGCATTTTATTAATTATTGAAACCATTCACCTCAGTATCTCCAACTGAGAGTTCAGACTCCTCAGTCCTTCAAAAAGAAGCTCCACACCAGAGTCCTGCAGGTTATTGTTACTCAGATCCAGCTCTGTCAGGACAGAGTTTGAGGATTGTAGAGCCGATGACACAATTTCACAGGACTGAGCAGTGAGATTACAGTCAGCAAGTCTAAGGGACAAATTATACAGTAAAAATTATGTTACTTAATAATTGATTTATTCAAAAACAACACTATTCAGCATAATATGATAAAGTAACAACAACTACAATATCACTGTGCCTTAACTCACAGAGCTTTTCTGCAGTTGATCACAGCTGGTATCAGTCTTCTTCTCCCCTCATCTGATGTGTTGTATTTCTTGAGGTCCAGCTCATCCAGTGGCTCCTCTGACATCTGAAGCATGTAGGTGATTGTTGAGCAGTGAGCAGCAGAGACATCAGTTTTTGAGTGTTTGCCTGATTTCACAAACTCCTGAATCTCTCTGGACAGAGTCTGATCTTTCACTTCCAGCAGACAGAGGAACTGATTAATGGATTTTCCAGTGGACAGATTGTATGGAGCAGTTCTCATGTCTTTAATTTTGTCTTTAATATAAGCAATAGTTCTCCTGATGCTCTCTGAGCTGTTCTCTGTGTGTGTCAGTAGATCCTGTAAGAGTCTCTGATTGGACTCCAGTGAGACGCCCAGCAGGAACCGCAGGAACAGATCCAGGTGGCCACTGCTACTCTTTAAGGCTTCATCTATGGCTGCTCTTAACAGCTCACACAGATTGTATTCATTAGGCTGTTTACCCGTAGGTGTTTTACTAAACAAAACGTGCAATGACTCCTTGTATTTGACCACATTTGAGTAGAACACATGGAAAGCAGCGAGAAACTCCTGAACACTCAGATGGATGAAGCTGTAGACTTTCCTCTGATGAATCACAGATTCCTCCTTAAAGATCTCAGTGCAAATCCCAGAATACACTGAGGCGTCAGTGAGGTCTATGCCACTCTCAATCAGGTCCTCCTCGTAGAACATCACATTGCCCTTCATCAGCTGTTTGAAAGCCACTTCAGCAAGTTTCACAATCACTTCTCTGTTGGACTGCAGGAGTTTCTCTGGATCTCTCTCTTCATACTTCTGCTTCCTCATGTTGATCTGAATGAGCAGGAAGTGGATCTACATCTCAGTCAGAGTTTGAGGGATTTCTGCACTCAGATCTTCTTCCAGGAGCTTCTCAAGCACAGTGGATGAGATCCAGCAGAAGACGGGGATGTGGCACATGATGTGGAGGCTTCTTGCTCTTCTGATGTGTGAGATGATTCTGCTGGCTTGATGCTGCTCACTGATTCTCTTCCTGAAATATTCCTCCTTCTGAGGCTCA